ACCTAGCCAATTCTGACTCACAGGGAAGCTGTAGGACAGAGTAGAACTGTGCCATAGCATTTCCAAGGGTGTCTATACAGACGCAGACTAACATATCTTTCTCCCACTGAGTGGCTTGTGGGTTTGAACCGCTGATCTTTTAGTTAGCAGTTGAGAACTTAACAACTGTGCCGCCAGGGCTCCCCCACCCCTCTTTTTCTTCCCCTGTGGCTTAGATGAAAGTTTACAGAGCAAATAAGTTTTCCATTCAACAGTTTTTGCACATTTTGCTTCATAACATTAGTTGCAGTTTCCTCAACGTAACCGTGCTTTTCCAGCTTCCTCCTTGGGTTCCCTGTGTGCATTAGTCCTTCACTAGAGCTCCTTTTAAGGAAACATTCGTTGTTGTTTTTAGGGGCCTTGGAGAATGGTTCTTACTCATAGCAACCTTTTGTACAAGGGAACGGAACACTGCTCCATGCCGTGCCTTCCTTACAGTCGATTGCTGGGCTTGAGCCCACTGTGGCAGCCACTATGTTGATCCATATCATTGAGGGCCTTCCTCTTTTTTTGCTGACCCTCTTCTTTACCAAACATGATGTCCTTCTTCAGGGACTGGTCCCTCCTGAAAACATGTCTAAATTATGTGAGACAAAGTCTCACCATCCCTACTTCCAAGGCACATTCTGGCTGTACTTCTTTCAAGACAGATTTATTCGTTCTTTTGGCAGTCCATGGGAGCTCTGGTGGCGTGGTGTCTAAGGCATTTGACTGCTAACCAGAAGGTTGGCGGTGCAAACCCACCTGCCACTCCTCGGAAGGAAGATTGGGCAATCTACTGGGAAATCCATGGAGGGGTCGCTTTAAGTCGGAATTGACTCGACTGGCAGAGAGTTTGGTTTGATTTTTTGGCGGTCAATGGTATTTTCAGTATTCTTCACCAACACCACAACTCAAAGGCATCAATTTTTCTTTGGTCTTCCTTATTCATTGTCCAGCTTTGGCATGCATATGAGGCGATTCAAAACATTCCAAACCAAACTCACTGTCACGGAGCCAATTCCGACTCATAGCGACTCCCCTTGGGTTTCCAAGGCTGTTGTAAATCTTTATTGAAGCAGATTGCCTCATCCCTCTTCAGTGGATTGGCTGTTGGGATTGAACCACTGACTTTTTGGTTAGCAGCCAAATGCTTTAACCATTACACCACTAGTGGATAATAAAGGACTAAACTGAAAAGAGGTGCAGAGTAGGCATTCAACAAATGTTTGCCAGTTAAATGAATGAAAGAGTGAGTAAAAGAAAGCTGGTACTGGGGGAAAGTACCCCAGGAGTTTAGGCGAAAGAGAAATCCTTGTGGGTGCGTGTGTTTGGAGGGTCAGGAGAGAGGCAGCAGTCCCCTGGCCTTTCTGAACATGCTAAGTGCCAGGGCGTGGGCCCTCGGACTAAGAGGTGCCCCCACGACCCTATCAGACCGCAGCTTTCACTCACCCGCCAGCAGGCGGATCCTCGTGGGCGGAGGTGAGCGGGGAGATAGGAGCCGCGGTTTCCCACAGCACCCTCTCGCGCGCAGGGTCCAGAAAAAGGCCCGCAGCAGGAAGCGCGAAGTCGCGGCCCGCCCTGTCGTCCCACCCACCGTGTCCCCTCCCCTCGGGCTGCGGGAAAAGCCTCCGCGGGCGCCGCTGCCAGCTGTGGGGCGG